AATCCTCTGGTGCTTGGTGAGGACCTGACTCTGCCGAAAGCACATCTTGCACTCAATGCACTGGTAGCATTTGCGGGCACATGTGCTAAACCCTGTCTTGTGGTGCCTACCCCTTCCCCCCAAAGAACAAGACAAGAGACCAGAGTATGGGTTCAAATTGGCCGCAACTTTATTGAGCTTCAGAAGTGGGAAACTTGGCACAGGCCTTGGCAGGTAACCCTCTCAGCCCGTCTGGCTGAGGACATGCAGGCTGATGAGGTACAGTGAGAGGGGACTGCAAAGCACAAACTTACACAGCATGCCCTTCCACTAACCTCAGCCTGGGAGTTTGACCTACATGCCGCTGCTCTAGGGCCAGGGACTCCTGGTTTTTGCCCTTTAACTGGCCCTGCAAACGCTGCCGCTTGGGAAGGGAGCATGAATGCATTTCCCCCAACTTGATGATCGACTAAAGGATTCCTTGCCAAGGCCTAAAACTGCCACCTGAGGCCCTAAGGGCCTCACCTCCAAGAGTCCAACAACCGATGACCAATCATCCATGCTCTGCCATCAAACCCTGTTGTCTACCCAGTCCCTGAGGACTTGTTGCAAGTCGTGCAGCCAGAGGTCATTACCAAGTGGGGTCAGGTGTACTCCATCCGCCCTGAATAGGCCGGCCTTATCTGCCATGATGGTGGGATGTGGAATAGAGAATCCGCCAATTAGCCGCATCGTATTGTGCATGGCCCTGTTGATTTTCCCCACAGCATAATTGATGCGAGAGGGATTGGAAACCCCTCTCCAGCGCAGGTGGGGGAGGAGATTGGACCAGCCAATGGTCATTGTTGGATACAAGGCATGCAAGCATTCTATATCTGCCCTTGCAGCAAGGATCAGGGCAATGCCTTTTTGTCCCACTAGATCTTTCTCTCCCAAGTGTAAAATCAAGACCCTTGGAGGGCCATGTGCCGCCGCAGCACTATGCAGCATGGGCATCAAGCTTGGCCAACGCATGCCCCGCCGGGCCTTCCAATAAATGCGTACCTTGGGGTGGATGTTAAGGTTACGGCCCCCATTGTGTGACCAGGCATAACCCGCTGCCCAATGGACAATGCTATGCCCTACAACCCAGATCGTCATGGTGGGCAAACCTGTAAGAAAATTAAATTTCAAGCAATAAGGAGGAGGAGCTGGGACGAATGTAGCTTTTGTAGGTTGCCGAGTGCCAGCGCCCCAGTGTCTTGATGCGGGTGGGGTCCCAACCCTGGACTGCCGCTGAAGTGGCAGCCCCAGTACAGAAGGAGTGCCCGGAATATTCTTGGGGATTAACTCCACAGGCCACTATGACTCTGTGCAAGACTGCCATGAATTGGGATCGTTTCAAAGGATGCGTGTTTGCGTGTATGAAGAAAGGGCCCTTGCACTTGGGCTGGACCTTGAAGAAGCGGCGTGTATTCTGATATCGGCAGGGGCCATCCTGTTCCATCAGGGACAGCACCAGCGTGACCCCTTTCCGCAATTGGTCAGTTTTTGAGGACCGAATCCTGACATTCAAAGTATCCCCAGAGAACTTAATGTCGGTGTCTGCCAACCCTGATTGAGGAGCCCCAGCTGCCAAACACTCCCCAATGCTCATGGCACTAAGGAAGGCATGGGAGAATGCTGCCCAAAAGAGACAAGTTTCAAAATTTGACCAGGTCTCTGGTAATTTTTTCCAAATTAGAATGAGTGAGTCGATAGTGATAGGCTTCCTGATGTGTGGGAATGATGCGACGCCACCCAGCCAGCAGCTTCTTGACGTGGAAGCTGTCACAGGGGTCCGGCCAACGAAGGAATTTACAAAAGAATGAGATAGCTGCCCTGTAAAGCATTAAAGTTTTAATGGCAAGGCCCTTGTGCTTTAGGAGCAGCAGGAATTGAAGCACCTCCTCCTCGGAAGCACGCCATGCTATGGAGCCATGAAAACGCCCGAAGGCGTCCCAGGCCCTGGAATAAGAACGTCTAGTGGAGGGTGCTAATGCTGACAATACTCCCTGGTTTACTTCTCGCTTCCAATCTCCCACAGATCGTCTGGGAAGGCGTCCGGGGTCTGGGCTGCATCTGGTGCCAGGTCGCGGAAACGCTCCATCTGGAAACGAGATAATGCATCAGCAATATTATTATTAAGACCAGGTATGAAATGGGCTGTGAAAGAAATATTGTGGTGCAGGCACTCCAGCATGAACAGGCGCAGCACCCTTATCACCTTATCAGACTTTGCTGACTGCCTGGATATAACTCTTACCACCGCTTGATTGTCAGACCAGAAACAGACCCTGGAATTCGAGAAGAGGGTTCCCCAGATGCGAATGGCGACTAGAATAGGGAAAAACTCAAGAAAGGTTAAATCACTAGTGATGCCTGCTACATGCCAAGAAGATAGCCACAGTTGGGCACACCAATGGCCCCTGAAGAGCACGCCAAAACCATAGCGGCCAGGAGCATCAGAATGAACCTGGAACTCCACCCCAGGGTTAAGGCTTTTCTGCCAAAATGAGACCCCATTATAATCCTGCAAGAATGCAAGCCAAATCTTCACATCATCCTTTATCTGCTTTGTCACCCTGATGTGATGGTGGGGGGCTACCCTCCTGGGCCGTGAGCCGCGCCAAACGGACACAGAAAGCACGGCCTGGCACAATTACCCTACATGCAAAATTGAGATGGCCCAATAGGGATTGAACCTGGCAAAGGGTAGTCTTTTTAACCCCCAGCATTGCTTTCAGCAACGCTTTTAGGGATTCCAGCTTGGTCTGCGGGAGGCGCGATGATTGCTGATGTATGTCCAGTTCAATACCCAAGTAGGAAAGGATCGTAGAAGGGCCCTTGGTCTTGTCGGCAGCCAAAGGTATGCCAAAGTCTGCTCCTGAGTCTCCCTTTGTGTCCTTGGATCTACTCCCCGATCCTGACTTTCGAAAACAGCGAAAAGGAAGCTTAGCCCAAAAATACTTAGTTCGTGAGTGTGAACCACCGCAGCACTCGCGAACATGGTCGAAACGACATCTGTCCCTGCTGCACAACCCATTATTAAACTCCCAGCATGTTGACATAGCCACCCTCTGTACTTTGGAGGGGGGTTTGCCTGACTTCTCCCCAAAAGCCCTTTTTTGGAAGTGTGGTGCCACTACTTCGGACCAGATGTCACTGTCCTTAATGTCCCAACGCGCCTTGGGGTCTTCAGCAGCCCTCTCACGGAACTCCTCATCTTACGCTAAAGCTGCCGAGTCCCCCACCATTTTTCTGGCTTTTAAAATAATGCCTTGGTAGTTAGCCAAGTGTCATGCCTTGTTGGGGTAAGCAGCGACCACCAACCCCATGTAATTTTATGTAAGCGGTTAACCAATTGTCAGAAGGGAGTGTGGTTGGTCACGAAGATAACAGCCAGGACTTTGGCATGTCTCTACAGGTTTTATTGAGTGCAAAACTTATGTACAGTGCAGAAGTCCAAAAACCATGTCTGCCTTAATCGCTAGCAGATTCCGGAATTGCCTTCTTCCTGTTTGCCCTCCAGCATAAAAGCCTGGGAAAACCCCCTCTCCTCCTCTTTTCCTTACGTGAAATTCCCTGGCCAAAGCTATGCGACGGAAGAGGCACATCCACTTCCCTGGGAGTGGTGTTTTGGCTCCCCTCAGCATGACTGAGCCTTTGCCTCACCGCCCTTTCTTTCATCGTCCATGTCTCCTGAAAGCTCCCCCTCCCAGACTCTGACGAAGTGCAGCTGCTCAACAGAGGAGGAGGCTGTCTGTACGTTCCTGTCTCTCCCCTCTCCCCTGAAAGCAGACCCATGACACCAATTATCGAATGTTCTATCAACATCCACTGCCTTGTCCTTCTTACGACGCGATTCCGGCTTAAACTTGGAAGTACAAGAAGCCGGGGACAGCAGGGAAAACATATCCACAAATCCCTCATTTAGGATGCGATTGCGAAGATTCTTTTTAAGCCGGATGCCAGGTGGCTGATCTGTGCGCTTGAAGTTTGACGCCCGCACCCTCCCTTTTGCATCCAGCCCATCCTCCCCACATGGCTCCCTGGCCCCAAAGGTGCGGCGATGATGCCGGGTGCAACGTTCCCATATCCAACTAGGAAGGCCAGGAGCCTTGTGGGTAGTACCCTTTACAGCATTCTTCCAACTCGCCACAGGAGGAATCACACATACCTGAAAGATCCGAAGAATCCTAAGTGTCCCTCTTGCACTTACACCCATGCTTCCTTGATCTGCACGACCTCTTCTTCCTGTGTCGTGTTCTGCGCGAATCAAGGCTGGAGGAGTTGTCTGGTGAACTCGAAACAGGTGACCTATGCCTACTCCTACCCTTTCGAGAGCATCAACAAGGGGACTTAGACCTATCTAAACGCTCCTCAGCCCAGGCCAGGCAACGCCGCAGGCTGTGGTTCTGGTGCAGTAATTCCTTCCTGCCGGAAGACAAGGCCATTTTTTAATCCTATTGGCTGCTTTTACGGCGTTGCTAGGGGTGCCCTTCGCTGCGGCTTTAGGGGTGTCCACCGCTACGGCTTCATGAGTGTGAGGGGAGCCTTCCCTTTGTTCAGCAGCCGTGGCTAGAGACATAATGCACCTTGAAGCGAACCACTACAGACCTGAGTAAGATGGGCAGGTGTTTTGTTTTTAAAAAATACTTATTATACTACTATATTGGTTATTTTCCTACAAGAGTAACTTGATTGCAATCAGAAAATATGGGAGGGGGGTAAAGACAGAACCAGCCAACCTAACTGCGCACACATACTAAAACTGCAAAAGAGAGTAACAAGTTAGCTCACATCCATATGCTCTGGAATCCTGTGGAGTAGACCCTCCAAGGATCGAATAGTGCCACCCCCATAACGGGGGGTGGGGGCAACAACTTCCACCCTAAAAGCGCACCGCACATGAAGCCTGTAGCCAGAGCGATCGCAAAATATCAAGCATTGCAAATGTGGCCTAGACATGGCCCCCCAAGCCTCCTAAAAGAACGGCCGCCATGCGGCCTACGGTTGAGAGCGGCGGCAGCAGAAAGAAAGCCGCCATGCGGCCTACAGCTGCTGGGAGCACCCCCCCCCCCATGGCGAGCGGTGTGGCAGATGAGCCCACGCACCCACACCACACTTCCGCAGGGAGAAAAGGGGCAGAGGCCACAAATGCTGAAAAGAGGCCGCTGCCTGCTGAACCAAAAGCCGCCATGCGGCCCACTGCCAGGGTGCCCACCACCCTCTCGGGCCCGGCGACACGCCCCCCCAGTGAGCAGCGGCAGCGGAGGGGCCTTACACCCCCTCCCCAGCGCCAGCGCCACTGAAAAGCAATCAAGGAAGGCTGGCAAGCAGCCTGTAACAAACAACGCAAAAGACTTACCTCAACCTGGTTGCTCACACATCCTGCAATCTGGAAGGTGATCGATCCTGGAAGGAAGAAAACCAAGTGAGGCTTGGTCAAAAGGGTCAGCCTCTTTTCTTTGGCGGGTCAAAAGCCAACCCAAGCAGGTGGGAGGCACCCGTCCAGGTGAGCCCCCACTCGGTGCCACAAACCCTGCCCACCTGTAGGGAAGGGAGGGCGAAAATTCTCAGCAGCGTGACTCTTGAGATCCTGGTGTTATAAGAATTTTAAGGTCTTTTATATATAAATAGATGTTCATAAACGTACCAAGCAAACACATACAAATATGTAAACCACATCTCTAAAACCCCCAGAAAAGTCCTGAAACCATTTTCTCTCTCCCAAAATGACCTCAAGTATTTCTCTGCAAGGTTGAAGAAAATGGGAAATCTCCACATTGTCTCTTTCACAAATCTTGTCTTAAGGGCACGTTTAGAATACGAATAGGGTGTGAGCCTGTGACCTGGATTCAGGATTTGAGTAACAAAAGAGTGGGCAGGATGCCCAGGTAATCTAATCAAGCAACCTAGCAGACAAGAGAAAAAAACAACACACTCAGATTTCTGTTGTAGACCGCCCTTTCTGTGATGTATGCATGATGTTTCTGGGGGTGGTCTTGGACTCCAGGGTGGGCAATTTTAAATGTCTATATAAGAGCTTGCACACCTTTGTCCGGGGTCCCTCCCCCCCTTCTGTGTGTGGGGGGGAGCACCCTGTTGCAACAGCTTTAATAAAGATCAGGTTTGTGGCTGCTTTGCTTTTGTATATCCTGGTCTGGTCTCTGTTCATTTCCTGACCGGTTTGAGCCTTAAAAGGTACACTGTCTCTGAAGGTCCAGTCTTCTTAAGAAGCTGAACCCCTTGAAGAGACCCCATTTTTATGCTTATTTCACTGGTGAAGAGCCAAGGCCGGGGAAATGTTTCTTGCCCCTGAGGATATCAGCTTGCCTGCTAAAGATCTTACCATTTGGCTTACCTCCTGCAGCAGTGCTGGAGCCTTGAATCTTAGGGTGCCCTGGGTCATGATGGACAGCTGAAGGGTTATGATGGGCAGCTTAAGAGGCTTCCTCCTTCGTCAGCACTTTGGCTAGATCTTTTGCTGCCATAACCAGCAGAGCACACTCCTACTCCCTGTCATGTGTCTGGAAAAGGATGCCATTGCCTCTTGCAGGGGAACTCCTTTTCAGCTCATTATTCTTCTGAGAGGGAGTCTCCACCTCTTTTTCACTGAGGATCATCTCACTATCTGCAGTAAGAAAACAAACTATGATTCAGCTCCTGTCCCTGTTCTGAAAACAAAGGAGTAATGATCACAGAGAGAGTGGAAAGCAATGCCTGTGCTGAGGGTGGTGGGTTAAATACAAAATGTGAGTTATTGGGGTTTATTGGTGTTATAAGAATTCTAAGGTCTCAAATATAAAATACATGTTCATAAATGTACAAGGCAAACACATACATAACTATATAAACCACTGAAATAGGACAGGAGAACAATCTTGAAGCTATTTTGACTCTCCCAAATTAACCTCAAATATTTCTCTGCGAGGAGGAAGGAAATGGGAAAGGTTTTCCAATTGTCTTTTGACTGTAGGGGCTCACACCTCCCTTTTCAAATACAGTCTGGCAAGGATCTGTTAATCTGAGCACACTATCAATATGCCTAAGAGATTCAGGAACTAAGTATTTTCCATTTCAAAGGAATGGCCAGGCTACCCAGAAAATACAATCAAGTAAGGCATTATCAGGTATCCTGGCAGACAGGAGAGAAGAAGCAACACTCTCAAAATTCTGCTGGATGATGTTTTGTGGGTGGTCTTGGGCTACAGGGTGAGCAATTTCTTTATAGGGGCTTGCACACCATAGTTTGGGGTTCTCCTGCCTCCTGCGTGTGGTGAGTGGGGACCCTGTTGCAACAGTTCCTTGAATAAAGGTCAGGCTTATCAGCCGCTTTGCCTCTCAATATACTCTGGTTGGCCTCTGTTATTTTCTCCTACAGACAAGGAACCCACTTAAGTAATCTATAGGGGTTCTGGAATACCCCATAAGGGAATGGGAGCAGTTTTTCTTATGACATTGGTATCTCTCGGTTTTAATTTCAGCAGACATCAACCATTAACTGTAATAAGTTCTCATTCACCATTTTCAAATACCATTACATGTCAAATATAAAATACTATATATCATTGCATGCCATCTGTCATATCAGGTATCAGCTTCTAAATACTACTGCATGTAACCTCTTCTATACTGTGTGATACTATTTCATGTAATTTATCAAATATTAAATACTATCGCATGCCAGCTGTAATATATTACATGTCACATATTTCGCATTGAAAACCATTCTTCTTCTTCTTCTTTGGCAATCACTCGTAGCTGAGTAAGATTGTCTTCCATAAATACGGTTTTAACAATGAGCCCGTAAGTGACTGTGGAGGCCAGTTCTGGATCCACATGTCTTTCCACAGTGGGGACATTGGTTTCCAGGCGGGAGTTGAGCACAGTGTGGATTTGCCAAGCGTGCCTTCCTCTTAGCACGTTTCTCCCTTGCGTCCTGAGTTCTAGTGTCTTCAAAGCCCATGACACCTTTGGTAAAGGCTGTTCTCCAACTGGAGCGCTCGCAGGCCAGTGCTTCCCAGTTGTCAGTGTTTATACTACATTTTTTTAGATTTGCCTTGAGACAGTCTTTAAACCTCTTTTGTTGACCACCAGCATGACGCTTTCCATTTTTAAGTTTGGAATAGAGTAGTTGTTTTGGAAGATGATAATCAAGCATCTGCACAACATGACCAGTCCAATGAAGTTGATGTTGAAGAATCATTGCTTCAACACTGGTCAGCGAGTGGGATTAAAAGCCATTATAAGCCATCTATCAAACATTATAGATTATTATAAAAAATAAAGCATTAATATTTAAGTATTCAGTACTAAAGGTTGTATCCAATGTTAGTCCCACTCAGTGTAGGCCTATTGAAATAATTGAATATGACAAGGTGAGTCTATTCTGAGTAAAAGTTGGTTATAATAATAATAATTTATTATTTATACCCCGCCCATCTGGCTGAGTTTCCCCAGCCACTGGGTTGGAGACAACCCAGAATATAATTGCATGTAAAGCATCAAATTCTAATACTGCAGTCATAACCCCATTTGGGAGTAAGCCCCACTGAATTCAATACAGAGCTGGCCCATCCATGAGGCAAGGTAGGGTAAGGTTACCAGATGTCCCCATTTCCTGGGAACAGTCCCCGAATTTACAAATCAGTCCCCATATAAAATCCTATCATTCCTACTGAAGTTGAAAAGTGTCCCCGGATTCATTGAAAAAAATCTGGTAACCTTAAGGTAGGATGACCACCTCAGGCAGTAGGATCCACAGGGGCAGCAGATCTAATCTCCAAGGAATGCATCACCCGCTGTATTCAATAGCACTTACCTGTAGTTTGTTTATCAAACTGTTTTAGTCACCAAAACAGCAGGCTTAGTGATTAACTTGAGTCATTCACGTTGAATTTTCAATTTCAAAAAATCAAAGAATGCCCCATTGAATAAAAGTATCTGTACAATTTTTGGTTGCCATCTGAACAAGTTTCCCCATGAATAAACATGTACTGTATACAGGTGAAAGTCGGAAAATTAGAATATCGTGGAAAAGTTCATTTATTTCAGTAATTCAACTTAAAAGGTGAAACTAATATATGAGATAGACTCATGACATGCAAAGCGACATATGTCAAGCCTTTATTTGTTATAATTGTGATGATTATGGCGTACAGCTGATGAAAACCCCAAATTAACAATCTCAGAAAATTAGAATATTAAATGAAATCAGCAAAACATGGATTGCAAATAGAGCAATACTGGACCTCTGAGAAGTAGAAGCATGCGTATGTACTCAGTACTTGGTTTGGGCCCCTTCTGCATCAATTACTGCCTCAATGCAGCATGGCATGGATGCTATCAGCCTGTGGCACTGCTGAGGTGTTATGGAAGACCAGGATGCTTCAGTAGCAGCCTTCAGCTCTTCTGCATTGCTCGGTCTCATGTCTCTCATCTTTCTCTTGGCAATGCCCCATAGATTCTCTATGGGGTTCAGGTCAGGCGAGTTTGCTGGCCAATCAAGCACAGTAATCCCATGGGCATTGAACCAGGTTTTGGTACTTTTGGCAGTGTGGGCAGGTGCCAAAGTCCTGCTGGAAAATGAAGTCAGCATCCCCATAAAGCTCGTCTGCGGAAGGAAGCATGAAGTGCTCCAAAATCTGCTGGTAGACGGCTGCGTTGACCCTGGACTTAATGAAGCACAGTGGACCAACACCAGCTGATGACATGGCTCCCCAAATCTCTTTTCTGATGAGAGCAGCTTTTGCATCTCATTTGGAAACCAAGGACCCAGAGTCTGGAGGAAGAATGGGGAGGCACACAATGCTTGAAGTCCAGTGTGAAGTTTCCACAGTCTGTGTTGATTTGGGGAGCCATGTCATCAGCTGGTGTTGGTCCACTGTGCTTCCCCCCCCTTTCTCCTCTTTTCCTTTAAGAGTTAATGATACTGGATTATGATCTGTAAGTGTTTTTGGTAATATTTCAGCTTTCTCTGCTTTAATTGTCATATCCTTAGTGATCCATATACTGTTGATTTGGCTATACAAATTCTTTGGTTCTGAAAAATAAGTGAACAGGATATTTATATCTCCATATATCAACTAAATCAAAAATCCTTACCATTTCCACAAAACCTTTTGGCAGCTTCCCTTCATTTCTCCCTCTCTTCTTCTGCGATCTGTCCAGTTCTGGTTCCATTACTCCATTTAAATCCCCTAACACAACAATTCTCATATCTATATACTCCATTAATAATGAACTTACTTTCACATAGAATTCTGATTTTCTTTTGTTTGATCCATAGATTCCAGCTACTACAATTGGT